GCTGCGCTTGGGCCCGCATCTCTCCCAGACCTCGCCCCTCGCAGTGGGGCGGTTATCTGAAACGTGGGCCTCAAACAGCCCTTGACACGACTTTCCATCCAAAAGGGGGGTCGGAGGGGATCTCCTCCCGCCCGCCAATGGGCCGTGGGTACCATTAACAAAGCGCCGTGCACAAAACTCACCTTTTTGTTCCATAAAAGGCTCCATGTTCAGCAGCTCGGAGAAGCCGATGTAGGTGTTCAGCTTCTTCTTGTGGCCAGTTTGCCTGTGCGGAGGCAAAGCTTCGCTTCAGGGGACAGCGGTAAGAGTTCACCCCCCAAAATAAACCCTCCACGCGCGCCCTCGGTCCCCCGCCTCTCCCACCGAGGCAGGGAGAGCAGGGCAGACGGTTCCCAAGGAGCCACCACGCGCCGCAGGCCGCTCCCGCCTCCGCAGCGCGGGGCTCACCGGTCAAACACGAAACGCATCAGCTGCAGGTTGAGCGTGCAGGGAAGGCTCAGCAGCCTGATCTTCCTCGTGGCGTTCTGCTTGCTCTGACAAGTTTCGCAAAAATAACGATTGTCCCCTTCTAATTTTTCTTCCTGAGCGGGGAGAGGAGGCAGAGGGAAAGGTCTTGAGAAGAGGTTACCACCGAAAAGTCAACCAGTCCGGGCTACTCCACGGCAGGACGAGCACGGGAGGTGTTTACCCACTTAAGGCTCTCCCCGGCTGCTTTCCCAAACAACCCTTTGGCTAAACGGACGCGCTGGGGAACGCGCTCGACCGCAGGGCCGTAGCGGGCCGCTCTCGCCCCGAGGAGCGTTTCAGACCAACCAAGCCCTGTTCTCCGTTCACCTAAAGACTGTTGGGTTTGCTCCCCCCTCGGCTGAGTTGGTTTAGACCAACGAGAGCTGTGGAAGAAGAAAATAATTAAATCGCCCTTTTACCAGCTCTCACATGGACCGAGTTAATGTAAAGCCACATTTTAGCCCCAAACCCACAATCCTCTTTCGCTCGGCCAAACCAGCGACACCTTGTAGGAGGCACCCTCTACGCCTACATCCCACGGCGGGATGGGTCCGGAGCAGGGCCCCAGGTGCCCTCAGCAAGGTCACCAGGCTGTGTCATGTGAAGGAGGAGCAGACAAACCCAAAATTGACCTTTTCAGGACCTTAAACCAGTCTCTTTTCACAGCAGCCCCTCCCGTGATTGCGGGCAGAGCTGTTGCCCGACGGCCAGGCAGCTCAGGTGCTGTCACCCTTCAGGTCAGTTCTGCCCCCAGGATTTTCAGGGGAATCATCTTAAGATCTAAGCAAATTTTCAAGTCGATTAAGAGCACTTGCAGCTGTTGTTTCCGGAGCTATTCCCGGCAGCAGGATTTTTCAGAGCACATTTTAGGGCGGGAACGTCTCCTGTTGCTATGCAGATGAGCACCCAGGGAGCAAACACAGAAAGCAGCTTCTCCCGGTGCTATCCATGACAAAGCACGCAGGGACTTTTGGTCAGACTATGGGGGGACTTCTTCCCATATTTGCAGGAAAGTATTAACTAAACAAGCGACTTTTAAGTGCTTTTTAGAGCTGTAGCATGCGCATGTGCCCTCCTGCTCCTCCCTCCCGTGACCCAATCCCCATTTTATGGGTCCGCAGAAAAACAAATTTCTGTTTGTGACAACTCTTCACTCTCAGGCGGACCTCGAAGGCTGTTAATTGAAGAAAGGAATTAAAACACCTCGCTAAGAACAGCGGGACTCAAAACCCAAGGAGCTCGTACCTTAAGGAATTCCGTTATACAGTCCGTCAACTGCTTGTGCCCTTGGATGTTTAACTCCAGCTCATAAAATTTAGACACGAGTTTGGACTCCCTGCCACACTGGTTGCAGCTAGGATCGAAAAAGAACAAAAGGAGACCAAAACACATGAGGACAGCCCGATGGCTCAGGTGTCTGAACTCCCCAGCCGCTTGTAAACCATCCCTGAGCTATAAAACCAGGAGAAAAAGTCAAGTCAGAATTAGGGTGGTGCACACCTCGACACCACAAGCACTGCAAGGGGTAAACAGGGTAACAGCATCTACCAGGAAAAACCCGCACACACCATTTCAGATGATTCCTGAGCTGAAATCCACAGCTCTGAGAATGCAGGAATGAAAACAAGGCACCCCAGTACTCCATTTCCCCAAGACTACGTTCCACCCGTCTAAACACCTGCAGGTTTAAGGGTGAATTTTTCCATTCAGGGATAAAAAGCAGCAGGTAAACTGCAACACCACCGCGCACACAGAATCAGGAAAGCTAAAAACCTCTCACAAAATGTTTTGGCAGCAGTTTACCTGCCCGCTCCAGTTGCCAGGAGGGACCTTTCCCTTTCAACTTCTTCTAAAACGTTTAAATATTTACAGAAAGCTTCTTCCCGAGGACCAAATACTTACACCGTGACATAGGCGTACTCTCCGCAAAACTGCTTTTGCACTATGTCCCGAACATCAGGGTTTTTTTGTTTGGATAAAGTATCTTCCAGCAGCGACATGAACAGCTTTGAAAACTCCTGGGCATCCTAGAGGAGAAAGTCAAGTCCGTCACTAGCGCGCCACCCACGGCACAAAGCCCCGTCACAACCCCGGCGCTAATTTCCTGCGGATTATCCGCAGCCTGCACGGCGGCTCTGGCGTGCCCTGAACAGGGAAAAAAAGGACCAGTCGGGAGAACCAAAGAAAAAGAGGAATTTGCCTCAAAGGAGAGCAAGGCCCCCGGCGTGAGCAAACCTGGCTTCCAGCCAGCTGCCCCGGGGTGGGTTGACTTCTGCCCCGCTCCTCGCAGGGCTCTGGAAGGGAAAAACAACCTCCTGCTGAGCTTTGTCCCGTTACCGCTCGCTTCCCAAAGCCCGGCAGGCAATACAGGCTGTCCCTGCTTGTGTTTTAGGGGAGGAAAAATGAAACACCCCAAGATGAGAAGCTGCCCTGTCCCCTCCTGCACGGCTCGGGAGCTTCCCCGCACTCAGCTCGGGGCCTTGGTTCTCCTTCACTCTCCCCGAAAACAATCGGGCTTGGGCCTCTCCCAGCTGTCCTTTGCCACCCCTGGGCAGCAGTGACTGCTTCCTTCCGCTCCTGAGGAAACGCACGCCGGCACTCGGGTTCTTCCTCCAGCAATCTCCCTCCTACTTCTCCAGGCGCGGATTTTTAAGCTGTGCTCTTCTCCCGAGCCTTCAGCCTTGGCAAGAGCCCCACAGGGCCTGTCTGCCGTCCCCACCCCCTCTATCCAGCCTTTCTCTGCCCCACACTGACCGTCTGCCCCACCCCTCTCTCTCTATCCAG